AGGTGTTTGCCTTTCACTGTGAGGCATTTGGGAGCTATGGGAGGAGAAGTGGGCCCTGGACAGAGTAGAACCAGCAGCACCATGGGTGCTGGCTTAGCCCAGAGCCAAGGGCACCAAGCACAGACATAGTAAATTCAGGCAGGGCATCAGGCTAAGGGGGCAGAAGGAACTGAAAGAGCCATTCATTACAGAGAAAAGAGATGGGACAGAGAATGAAATCAACTTCAACAGAAGGAAAACATAAAAGCAGAAAAGATTCTACCTTCTTCTTTAATAAAATATTACACATAATCCTGGGAGCAATGGACAGGGACTGGAAAGCCATGTGATAATGCATTTAAGTTATCAATATCTCATTTGCATTGGCAGTAACTTCAATGGCTATAATTACAAACAGCTTTTCATAAGATTATATTAGGAAAAGATTTTGGTTATCAAAGCTGATATCATAGATAGAGACTTGCTTTTTAAAGATTATTCCATTTGCAGGAACATTACTTATTGCCAAGCACCCATCTGTTTCACATTTTAGTACTAACTCTTTTTTTCATCCCCACACTCATTTCAGTGAGAAGTTTCTGGGGGTTATGTTGGAGGTAATAGTAGTGGTTGTTATTTTGATACAAGTACGTTGTATGTTAGGAAAGCTGAATTTATTTCTATTTCTCTTTTGAAGAGCATTTAATCAGTGCAATCCCCTCAGTCTTCCCAGCAATTGTAAAAACAAAGACTGTAAAAACTACCATTTTCTCCCAGTTATTGCTTTTTAAGTAAACTTATTACCATCTTTTTTTTTTATTTGAGTAGCTGGCATACAATATTTTATTAGTTTCAGATGTACAACATAGTGATTTGACATTTATATACCTTACAATGTGACCACCACACTAAATCTAGTCACCATCTGTTCACCATGCAAAGTTATCACAACATTATTGACTATGTTCCCCTTCCTCTTTACCCCCATTCCCTAAATCCCCTCCCCTCTGGCAACCATGAGTTTGCTCTGTTTTAGACCTTGATTTTCCTATAATTTTTTCACCACCTATCTCTTTACCTTCTGCAACCTGACTTCTGGTCTCACTATTTCACCAAACCTGCTCTCATTAAAGCTTTCTTCTTTATTTGGATCCTTCTAGAATACATCACTACCTTTGACATGGATGGCCACACTCTCATACTTGAGTGGCACTCAAAGCTCATGACAACACCCAGTCATAGTCTGAGAAGAAAAGGCACCTACTGAAAACGAAGAGCAGGAGGGGAAGATACATATGAATGAACTTAGCTGTCAGTGCTCGGAGGCAGAACTGAATCACATGGGGGCTCATTAGGAAGAATTTTTATTTTGAATCCAAGAGCCTTAGTAGTCATCTAGGCCAATACCCTCCTTTTATAGATGAAATAATGAGATCCAGAAAATGTGTCAGTTAGGATATCTTTGGTTACAAGTAATAGAAAACAGCAGCTCAATTTGGCTTAAACAATAAGGAAATACACTACATGATAGGAGATCCACACAGTGTCCCACTGCTGCTCTTCCCTGTGGCTCCCTTGGCCACTCCACCTTCCAAGTGTTAGCTTCAGCTTCTGGATGTAGGCAAGAGAGCCACAGCAGTTTCAGGTCTCACATCAGAGGCCTGGCATTTGACAGAGGAGAATAAGGGTGAGGGGGAAGTGTCTCTTTTCAGAAGCAAAGAAACCTGATCAAGAAGACCCAAGAAGACTCTCTCTTGTCACCTCCCCATGTCTAAATCAATCACTAGCAAGGAAAATGGGATTCCAAGACTGGTTTAGTTTAAGCCTGGGACTAAGCTCAGGGTAAAATGAGGCCTGAGAAGTCAAGGTTATTAAATAGGCCACAATCAAAATGTTATTTGTAGATCTAAGCAATATCTTGATTCTTATATTTGTCTTACTACACTTCTCAGAATTCACTTGGTTTTTCTCCTTATTAAAGATGGATTTGCTCTGGCTGGTGTGGCTCAGTGGATTGAGTGCTGGCCTGTGACTCAAAGTGTTGCTGGTTCGATTCTCAGTCAGGGCATGTGCCTGGGTTGCATGCCAGGTTGCCAATAAGGGGAACAGATGGTGACTAGATTTAGTGTGGTGGTCACATTGTAAGGTATATAAATGTCATATGTGTCTTCCCCTCCTGCTCTTCGTTTTCAGTAGGTGCCTTTTCTTCTCAGACTATGACTGGGTGTTGTCATGAGCATTAACAGTTCCAAATGCATATGTAACTGTTAATATTTGAACCTATAGTGCTGAAAGGTCTTGTTTTGTGTAAAAATGAAAAACACAAAGATAAGGGGCCAGATACTCAACCATACATTGATGTTTCTCTCCGTCTCTTTCTCCCTCCCTTCCCCTTTCTCTAAAAATAAATAAATAAAATATTTAAAAAAGAATTTTTTTTTAGGGGGCAGGGGAAAGTGGTGGGGGGAAGGTGGAGACAAATGTATTTGAAAATATAAATTAATTAAAAAAAAAAACAACAAATTTTTTTAAATGATGGATTCTACTCTTCTCTCTTTTTACAAACTTCTCTGCGGGGTGGGGGAGGGGGCATGTGATCTTTTTGTAATTATTTTAGACTTCCGTGGAAGTGACATAGGGTAATGGTAAGCACTGACTTTAGTGCCAGACTCTTGGGTTCAAATATAGGCCCCCACCTCTGCATGTGTCACCCTAGGCGCGTTCCTTAATCTCCTTCCTCACTTACAAAGGGGGATGGTAACAGAACTGACCTCATAGAGAAACCGTGAGAATCAAATAAATTACTATATATAAAGTGATCAGAACAATGCCTGTTACACAGTAAGTCCTCTGTAAGTACGTGCTATTATTATTAACGGGCATCTACTGGTTTTGCCTGCCCAGCATCCCTTCCCCTTTTTTTATCAAATGTTTCTGTTTTCCTTTGAAAAACTACCCCTTACTCGTATGTGCCATACAATCTTGGTACAATTCTCAGTCAGTATGAATTGGGCAAAGGGTGGGCACAAGGCCCATGTCAGGCCAATCTTACCTTTTCCCAGGGAACCTGAATCTTAAGGAGAATGACTCAGATAGAAAACAGTTAAAATTCAGTCTCTCTTGTATCATGGACTTGAACAGGATTTTCCCAAGTTTTTGCCTACACCCCTAGAATGGGTTGTTTTTTCCAAAATCTGATTAACAACTCTTCCTTTGATTCCACTAGCTATTGAATCTCCTTTAATAAATTCCTTTTTGCTGAAATTAGCCAAAATTGATTTTTTTGTGTAAACATTATGTTGAACAAATAGGCCTCACCAAAATAAATCATAAAGTAACTTTATTTTTGTCTTTTATTGTCTCTTTATATCTATTCAAAAGTCAATTCTTCTCTGGCCTCTACATAGAAGATAAAACAGTGGCTCTGAAGTCAAACATTCTGGACTCCAATTCTAGCTCTACCTCCTGCTAGCCATGTTGCTTACTGCCTCTTTGTCTCAGTTTCCTAATCTGCAAAATAGGGGAACAACAACATCTACCTTGCTGGGTTATGGTAAAACTTACCAAATGACTTTCCAAATGTAAAATGCCTGGAAGTGTGCTTGGCACATAGTAAGTCCTAAAAAATGTGAATGTTGCTAAAGGCAATGGTGGTCCAGTGAGGTTACCTTTTTTCCTCACAACTCCTGATCATTCTTGTTTTCATACCTGTGCTAACACTAGCCCTCTCTCCTTTTATAAATCCTTCACGACATTCATTCAAATACCACCACTTCCACATGGCCCACATCGATCTACAAAGACCACATTAACCTGATACTTTGTCGGAATTATATAATCTATAGCAGATATGAGACTGGATTTACATCATTTTTAATTGTAGCTGTGTTTAAATAATGACTACCTCAACAAAGTATTCCTGGAAGTCAAAAATAATATATTTTTTATGTTTCTTACAGTACTTAGTCTAGAGTAAGGCTCACAGTAAGACCCTAATCGTTAATTTTTAAACAGCTATGTGTATGTCCCATCACAATTACTTCTGGGTTTGTAATGCTGCAAGCCCTTAGGCCTGTGTTTTAGTGCATGTGCTGCTGAAGTGCGCTCATGGCCCATATTTTCACTATGTATATAAGCTCACAAAAAAGACAGACTACAGAATTTTCCGTTTTATTCCCACAGTGGCTCATACTCACTGGGCATCCAATAAATATTATTAACTATCTACAAAAGAGTTGAAAACTTCAGGAACTGAATATTAATTACAAATATGGTTGGAAATTGCAAATGCATATGTAACTGTTAATATTTGAACCTATAGTGCTGAAAGGTCTTGTTTTGTGTAAAAATGAAAAACACAAAGATAAGGGGCCAGATACTCAGACGCTTTTTCCCTTTCTGACACATTTTTTTCTCATAGAATTGTTGATGAAGGACAAAGTAGAGAAGGCAACTCTCATATTTTTTTTATTGTCATGTTTCTGGAGAAATGTTCCTTTATTTCTGAAACTCTGCATAACATAAAGTACACCACCTTCATTCTCTAATTCCTCTAAGCATGTGAAAAAATATACACAGAAATAAAAACTTTTCCCATTAATGGCCAGAGGATACAATTTCCATATGCACAGATGGCACTGTTTTATAGCTATGTAGTTTGTTTTAATCATGTGGAAAAGTTAACTGAGAAAGAGAAGTCGACTAAGCCTAGCCTCAGTTCCATGTGAAGCTGTCTATGACATGGAGATGCATAATTGGACTCACGTCACTGATCTTGGGAACAAGTTTATATTACACCTAAATGATACCTCTATAAAATTCCATACTTGTTAGCTTATTGTTGTTTAATGGATATGATTATTTTGGTGATGGAAAAAAACCCACTTTTTATTCTAAATGCTATCCACCGTGAATTTTTCAACCAGACCAGCTCTTCATTGTTTTTCTTTCTAGAAGACCACTCTAGAAGAGAAAGAAAATGGAAGAGAAGGATGAGAGGACAAAAAATCTACATATCCTACTTGGATTGTGCAAGACAGCCTGGTGCAACCACATTCTGATTCTCCTCTTCCTTCTGCAGCGCAGTGAGCTCCACCATGTTAACCATCACATCACAGGTGTGGCCAGGAAGCTGGGGAAGCACTGAAATGATCTTCTCTACCAAGTTGTCGCCATGATGTCCAACTGCTCCTGTTCAAGCAGACAGAAATATGAACTCACAAAATGGGAGGGAATACAAGCTGAATTAATGTTTAATAATGGCCCTTCTACCAAGAATAACAAATGTCTGGCAGGCTGTCTCTGGAACACCTATGCCGTTGTTCTCTCTCCTGCATGCATCTTTACTTTTCTCTCCTAAACCCTAAGCGTCCTCTTCAGACGTGCAACCAGGGGAGCAGCAGGCAGCATCAGTTCATCCCAAGCTTATCTCCCTGACCCTATCTCCAAGGCTCCCTTTTTCTCTGACTTTCCAGTGAACTAAAAGCAGCCCCACCTTGGCTCACTTCTGTACTGTGATTTAGCTACTTCTCAGTGAATTCAGGCAACACAGGGTGGCTCACTTCTTTCCTATAACCTTTCTAGGGAGCCAAAGCAGCCCCTCCGAGGCTCTCTCCTGTTGCTTCTTCTACCCTAAGCCTTTCCTTTGTTTCACTGTCCTCAGCATTAATAAACATACTGTCAAAATCAAAAAGAACAACAAATGTTTTAGTTTCTGTTACAAAATAAATAACACAAGCCTTGCATTATGCCCTCTGTAGCACTAGTCAAGCTCACAATTACCTAGTAGACCCATGTCTTTGTGTGTGTTGGATTAACACTCCACGAGTACAGACACTGTGTCTGCTCTGGTTACTACTATATTCCCAGCACCGAGTACAGTGCCTATGGATATGGTAGGCATGAATAAATAAATTATCTGTATATAGTCAGCCACGTAAGTGGTGTGTGGATAATATTATCCTGAAATTTTAAAATCAAACTTTGTTTTACTGATGAAGATAGTAAGACCCAGAAGGGCTTACAGACCAAACAAACAATAGCAAGTCTCCCCTCTGTTAGACCCATATCTTCGTAATGGTAACTGTTTATCTAGTTCACCCTACATCCACCATATCTGTCAGGCAACTTAGCAGTTAGTAGGTTCTCATTAAGTATTTGCTAAAAAAGGGAAAGAATAAATGAATGAATGGTAACAGTTTGCAATAATAGAGGTCTTTATAGAGTGCTTTCTGTGTACCAGGGACTGTTCTGGGCACTTTAGATGAATTAACTCTTTTAATTACAAATGAATTAATGAATTCAAATTTAAATTCAAGACCAATGACACGGTTTAATACTTGTCCCATCAAACCAGGTTATCTTTCCAAAAGCCATCATTGCTTGGAAGACCTCATTCCAAAAATGGGTGGGACTTGGCACATTTACTTGTTTTGATCCCACCCATTTCAAATCAAGTAACATTTGCTTCCTAATGTCTCTATCGCTGCCTTTCTGTTGCTTTTTGCCATATCATATTATTTGGACAGAAGAACTAGGTAGGAAAAAGCCAAACCAGGAATTCAAGGAATCATCAACATGACTGTCATCATCTTTATCACATAGCTCAATAGCTAATATTAACTGAGAGCTTATGATGTACCAGATATTAAGCTCCATACATTTATTTTTCACTTAATTCTTACAATTCTGATAGGTAGGTATTATTATGCTCATTTACAAAGTAGAGGATTCAGCTTAAGTAACTTGGTCAAGATTACACAACTTGTATATTACCAAGCAAGAACTCAAATTCAGGAGGCAGATAACTCCAAAAATGATACTCTTTATTTTAAAAAAATCAGGCTCATAAAACTGTCTCAAGACAGAGGCAGCATGAGTGCTTCTAAGGCAACTTTTGATGTTAAAAAAAAGAGCTTTCACACCAGTAAAATATTTGTTGATTAGGCCTGGAAGAAACCACACCTTAGTTATGTTGTCTCCCCATCACTCAGACTACAAGCTCCTCATTAAATACTTGCTGAATGAAAGCTTAGTGACTGTAAGTGGCCCTGAGATCCAAAGGTGGGTCAAAAGTCTCTAAGTGAAATGTACCTTTAAACTAAGCTTGTAATGAAGGTACATTATTAATACTCACCGAAAGAAACTGAAAATTCAACTAATTCCCTATGATAATTTATTGTTTTGTTGTACAATTTCCTTCCACTAGGTCAGTCATCTGTTAACAAATTAGAGCCTTCTTATGATAAATTGCTACAAATATGGGAATGTGCACATTTCCAAAAGGTTCTCAGGTAGACAGTTCTCCTCATGGTCATCATAATTACATTTTTCCAGTATCTTGGGCCAGGCACAGTTGTTTAACAAGGCAGTGCACTTATAAGTTGGATTTATACTTTACAACAGCAATTTTCAAACTTTTTCACCTCATGCCACATAAAAACTTACTACTAAGATTATGTGGCACACCAAAAAATATATTCTTGCAGATCTCACAAAAAAAAAAAAAAAAAAGGGTGCAATTTTGATCATTCACACCGAACCACTATTGTTGTGTTGGCTGTTGTCATTTTTTTAATTTGACAATCTAATGGTCAGTGCCCCTGACTAAAATAGTCAGGTATTGCAGGTTTATAAAGTTCTTTTTTAAAAAAATATTTTATTTATTTATTTTTGGAGAAAAGGACGGAGAGAGGGAGAGAAACATCAATGTGTGGTTGCCTCTCGAGCACCCCAACTGCCCCACAACCCAGGCCTGTGTCCTGACTGGTAATTGTACTGGCAACTCTGGTTTGCAGGCCAGTGCTCAATCCACTGCGCCACACCAGCAAGAGCGGTTTTTAAAATTCTTGTGGCATATCAGTATGTCTCTTGCGACACATCGGTGTGCCACAGCACAATGGTTGACAATCACTGCAATTACAGAATTCAACAAATTCATTGTAATTGCTAACTTGCTTGTCTGTATCTCCCTGAAACTGTGAGATCAGAGATTGTGTCCATCTAGTTCATCTTTGTATTCTCAACCTGACATACAGTAAGGGCTCAATAAAATATATGCTGAACCGATTGAAGTCCCAGAACATTGGAGAGTGGTTATGAACACCTGCACAGCAATCCCATTTACCTGTGAGATCCAGAGTTCTGTCCACAAAGACCACTGAGGCCCTGCCTGCAGAAGTCTTCCTCCTGTTCTTGGCAGGGGCATAATTAGCCAGATCAGCAGCAATGATCCGACTGAAGGGACCTACAGCAAAACACTCCTCCCGTACTCCTAAATGCTCACACAGAGAACTGAGGCCTGACACCAAGCACCTGATCTGCAGTAGCAGTTCAGGGGTCAGGGCAGAGGCATCCACTTCACCCAGGCTCCCCAGCCTTCTCTTGTCCGGTCGGGCACTATTAAGAAGATGCACATCCTGGGATAGCAATGGGAAAAGGGAAGCAAAAGCTGGAGTCAAGGCAAGGTGGGGAGCAGCAGGAGCTAGCAACAACGGGATGTGCAGCACCTCGGCAGTGTAGTTCATGTCGCCCATCCACTCACACAGCTTCTCCTCCAGTTGCTCGAACACCGGCTGCTGCCCCTCCAGCTCAGCAGCTGCCACCGCTGACACGTGATTAGCTGTGAGGTGGACATCGTGGTTCACGGCAGTGACCACCACACAATACTGGAAGTGACTGCGGCAGATGATGTTCCGTAGAATTTCCACGGTTCGGCCTTTCAGTAGGGAGCTCAGTACAAACACCGCCTTGGGCTGCTGAGCTCCGCCACCAATTGCCGCGGGCTCGAACTCTCGCAAGTGACACGCAGGACTCCCCACCGCCTCCAAGAGTCGGGTGGATCCGCAGCCCCAGTGCAGGCTCTCGGCACTGGCGGCGTCCAGGTAGACCAGAGCCCGTTTCACTTTGGTAAGCACCTGGTCCCAGCCCTGCTGGGTAAAGGACTGTACGCCCGGGGCGCTCATAGTTGGGAATTCGCAGACTCCAGCACCGAAGTGAAAGAACTTTGCTCAGAACTCACAGCTTCCGGGAACTGGGCTCGCTGAGACTTTGACAGTCAACACAGTACACGCGGTGCCGCGTCTTGCTTGTCCAGTGGCTGCGCACGGTGATGACGTCAGTGGAGGGTGATTGGCTTGCCCGAAGATCCGTTCCCGGAAGAATGCAGAGAGCTGAGAAGAAGAAGTGGGCGGGACTCCCGGGCTCTGGGATTCCTCGAAAGTACCATGAGACTAAAAGGGGCTACCTAGGGATGGGTGAACGATGTTCTTTTACTCTCTCTGCCTGCTCAGATTACCTTTCCCTGCTACTGAGCAGACAAAGTTTGATACTTCTTTAGATATGAACACATCTCTTTAAAAGTACTGTCACTTTCTCATCTCAAGTTAGAGCGTCCTAAGATAAAAAATTTTTTTTTTAAAAACCTGCAATGTTTTGTAGTTTATAGACTGTTGTCCCATATGCTATTGCTCGCAGGTCTCATAACCAACATATCGGTCTCGTTTTCATTTTCTCCATCTTCCCTCCCTCATCAAGTAATCAGTAAATCTTAATCTGCTTCAAAAATCTTAGAATCCAGACCCTTCTCTCATTCTTGCTGTCACTATCTTAATCCACCATCATCACTCACTTGGACAATTGCAGTGATTCCCCCCTCATTTCCAAGCTTTTCATCTCTCTCCTTGAAATTCAGTTGTTTCCATAATAAGATAAACTGGTCCTACCATTTTCCTGGTTAAAAGCCTCTTCTGGCCCAATTGCCTACAAAAAACAGCCAGACTCCTTAAAATGGCACCCAAATTCTTATGATTTCCCCTTTTCCCTCCAGCTACTCCCCCCCCGCCCCCGCCGGAACATTATATACCTACACAATGTTATCAACAGATTGAGCCCTGAATGTTTCATGGGCTCAATCAAAGTAGTATTTATTAAGCATTCACCAAGCATAATCACTGTACTAGATTCCAAAGATACAATGATTAGTAAAATACATTCCCTGATCACAAAGAATTTACGCTTGGCAAACTTCTAATAAAAAATAATGATTCCTTCCATGTGAGGATGTTCCTAGGTCACCACCCCTACTATAATCTCCTTGTCCTTCAACTTAGCCTCTCAACACAAAACATTCAGTTGATACCTCTGCCAAGTACTTCCTATATCATGTGGTGAGTTTTAACATATCCATTTTCTTTAACATACCTATTTTGGTTGATCGTGTACTAGAAGCCTGATATCCCCAACACTAGAACATAACAGGGATTCAATAAATGTCTTTTGAATAATGTTCAACGTATAGCCATATAATAAGTAATATAGTCAACAAACTTTGAATGGACTTGTACAATGTTCCAGACACTGTGCTGGACATTGAGGTTATAAAAAGAAATAAGTCACAGCTTTGCCTTCAAAAGAATCTGATTTAAAAGAACCCATCCATGTAAAGCAAGTAAAATAAAATGTTACAGAAGTGATTACTTTTTTTAATGTGTGAGAATTACAAAGGAGGAAAAACAAATCTGATTGGGTAGAGTAAAAAAGGAGGTGGCCAGAAGTTTCATATAGGAAATGCACTCTGAGCTGTCTTCAAAGAAAACCAGGTGTTCACCAGGCAGACAGGGGGGAGCAGCATTCCTGGCAGTCCAGGCAGAAAGTGCAGCGTGGACAATGCGAGTCTTGAAACTATACATGTTGTTTGGAACTACAAATAGTTTAGTATAACTGGAGTGTGTCGTACAAAGAGAGACTCCAAAAGAAATAGGAGCTAAAAACTAGAAAAGAAGGAGCTAGATTGGGGTGAGTCTTAATTTTTAGTCTACATATTAGCAACTGGGAGGACTATTATAGTATTTTTAGGAGTGGAAATAATTTCTCCACACCTGGAGTTAAGGAAAAAACTCTAGTAAAGACATGGACAATAATTTAAATGCAGTAAGGTTTTTGAGCAAGAACTGTTAGGAAACAGTACCAGCAATCACTCAACCCAGAGTACATAAGGAACGAGTAAAGGTGAAACACACTGAGGGGCGTCTAAAGAAACATTGAGGAGAAAGGGGCAAAAAGCCTGATAACTGGATTGACAAAGAGAGTGAAGCAGAGGGAGAATTTCTAATTAATGCCTACTTAAGTGGTAGTCACTGAGATTTGGAAAATCAAAAGAGAAACATTTTGAGGAATAAAGGTACTGAGTTCAGTTGGGACATGTTTTTGTTTATTTGTTCGACTTTTTAATTGCGACAATATACATGTAACATAAAATGTACCACCTTAACCATTTTTAAGTGTACAGTTCAGTAGTGTTAAATATCTTCACATTGCTATATAACCAATCTCCAGAGCTTTCTGTCTTGTGAAAATGAAAATCTACAGTCTATCCATTAACAAAAATTCTCCAATTTTGCCTCTCCTGCCCCTGGCAACCATCATGCTATCTTATGGTTCTTTGAATTGACTGCTCTAGATATCTCATATAAATGGAATCATTCAATGTTTGTCTTTCTATGACTGGCTTATTTCACTTAGCATAGTGTCCTCAAGCTTCATCCATATTGTAACATGTGTCAGAATTTCCTTCCTTCCATTTCTTTCTCTCAGGTGTTATGGCAGAGTCAAAGTAATTCCTGCTAAAATAACATGCTTAAGATAATTAGATTTACCTTATTTAAATGTGATTTGTGTTTTACTAAAAATAGCCAGTATCTATTTCCCATTCCTCTTAAGATTAAGCATATCTCACTTCACCTCATTTCTAAGTCCTCCATATGCGTGATCAATTTAAGGGTTTACTAAGCACTTTCCATGTGGTTGACATTGTAGGATCAGCTGACTACAGGAAAGAATTTTCTCACCCTTAAAGAATGTGAAGTTTATATAACAGTGTAGATATAATAGGAAATAATACAATTTTCCAGAAACAACTGGAAATATAAAACTTAATGTTAAAATATGTAAGAATATAGAGGAAGATGGATAATTGGGGCTTCATGGCTTATGAAAATATCAAGAGAAAGAAAACCTCTGCACATTTGCAATTATTCAGGTTGTTCAAAATACAAAAAGCTTAAAACATAGTCCACCACCTGCTTGCCACTAACTTTTGTCAAATGCTTTGACATTTGAGGTCTTATTTTAATCTTTGTTATCTTCCCAAGAAGTGGGTGTAAAAATTTATTTTAATACTGGTTTACTAATGAGGAAAGTGAAGAACACTGAAATTTAAGCAACACTTTTAAAGTTGGCAGCAAATAGCACATTTGGGCCTAAGTGACACAGTCATTCAAAACACATTTATGAGGACTAGCTATCTACTAGACACTGTGTAAAGCACTTTTATTTGATCTTTAACTATTACACTCTTATAATTTTAATTATCGACTGAGCAATTCTTTTCAGTGATTCTCAGAGAGAGATACTAAAACTGATGTTTTGTTGTTTTTGTTTGATTTTGCCAAGAACCAACAGGTCATAAAAAATAATAAAATGTAAAACAAATATCATCAGAATATGTGGAGTAATGTAGTTTGATAAGGTTATAATTTTATACAATATCTTCAAGCTACCTATCTTTGAAGGCTCCTGATGAGTAGGGAGATAAAGACACCTTTAACTAAGGCAGTTTATCCAGACAAGGAACTCAGTTTGAAAACAAGCAGGAAGAGGACTTACTTAAGACTAGCTATTAGTGATTTATGGGCTTCTCTGCTTGTGGGAATCTTTCTTTGAAAGCTTAGCTCAAATGCTACTCCTGGGAAGACAGTTTTGATGCATCAATTATTATTCAGTCATTCAGTTTAGCTTAAGTAATGCCTTGAAAATCAAGTTAATTTCAGGCAACTGAAAGGAAAAAGAGACTCCTCAGCAAAAAAAAAAAAAAGCAATCATTTCTTCATGAAACAACCAGAGTTCATTATATGCTCATGGAATGATAAATAGAGAGAACTATAAGTGATTGCCTTATGACAGTCCCAAGTAGAATGTCAAACCTTCATTCCATTACTGTCCTTAAATGCCAAGATAATCCTTATCACCACTTGACGTATGGTACACTTAATGTTTATTGCCTGTCTCCTCATTAGAATGAAAGCTTCATGAGATGAGGACTTTGTTTTTCTCACTGCTCAATCTACATAGCCTAGAAGAGTTCCTGATACTTGGTAGATCCTACATAAATATTTTTAAAATAAATAAAGAAATGGGATGAGATAAAAGTGGAATTTATGAAAGATTTCACAAAATTGATTATATCTCACTCAACAGAGTTCAGAACAATTCAGGCATTATCCTACAACAGGTAAGAGAGACCGGGAATAGCAGAGAGAGGGGGATTAAAATCACATGATTTGTTTAAATTACACAAAATGGTGTCTTATTAATAAGATGTTAACACTTTGCTTTTGCTTCTTTTATGGCATATCCACACTTTCCTTTGTAGAGAACCTAATTATTTACTACCTTTTCACAATAGAGGGCTCTTTAAGGGCAGGGCCTATATTTTAGTTATATCTTTATTTTCCAAGTTCTTAAACATCAGTTACTCAGTAATTGTTAAATAAGTAAGTAAGTAAATAAATAAACAAACAGTATTTATTGATTAGAGAGTATGGAAAAATTGATTTTCAAAACTAAAGCAGATTTCTTTCTATTAAAGTGTCTTCTTTGAAAATTTTAGAACTGAAAGGAACTTTAGAGATCATCTAATTCAAGTTTCCCATTTTATAGATAAAATTAAAGCATAGAAAGGTTGATTACTGAGTTTAGGAACTAGGTAGTTATAATTGAGAAATAGAACACCAGTTTTGACCAACATGTGTCATCTCCTTGAAAGATATGTTCTTAAAAGGGGTCTTAAAATTTGGCATTATCTACGAAAATAAAAACTGCACATACTTTATGATCTGCCTTGGAGAAACACTTGGACAAATGTGCAAAAAGTCATTGACAAGAATCTTCATTGTAGGTTTTTTTGTACATTAAGGTGTAAAGTTGAAAGCAATCTAAGGAACATCAATAGAGAAATAGCCATACTCACTTTATGAGAGCCATGCTATGAAATATTATGAAGCACTTAAAAATGGACATAGTTTGATATACAGAATCAGGCAGAAGGCTTGCTTGAGTGTGGTTGGTAGGGTAATAATATGGGTGTAATGATTTATAGTTTTAATTTGAACATTTCACCTAAAATGTCACATGGTGTGTTTGAGTGTGGTATTGTTTTGTTACAGAATTACATGTTTATGATTTTGTAATAAAAAAGGGGCATTATTTGTGCTGGACCCTGTACATTTAGTAACATGAAAGGATCTCCAAGATACTGTTGAGTTAGGAGAAAAAAAAGCAATCCACAGAAAAATACATACTGTACTGTATCCTTTGAGGCTCATTAACCTCAGGTTTTCCCACTGAAACAATACAATTCAACTCAAGTAAATGTATAGAAAATTTCAGAATGATTCACAGCAAACAAATAACAAGAGCTGCTTTTGTAAAGGATGGTGGTGGATGAGGGGACCTTTGAACTTAATTGTAATGCTTTGTTCTGACAAAGAGAATGCATTATTCATATATTACTTTTGCTTTTGTTTGCTGTTAAAATTAATTTTTCAAGAAAGTGGTCATGAATAATTTCTTATTTAATAACAGGGGATCGAAAAGTAACTTCTGTATCAAGGGTGATACACATATTAAGAATAAAATAAGGGCTTTTGGAAGATTAAATGCAGAAAGCATTAAGGGCAGAAGGGAACAACGAGGTATTCGCAGACAAAGGCAATACCGGTTATTAGAGGAATGGTTGGGGGAGGGGAACCCTAGTTCACGCAGGAAATTACGGGAGAAATCTGCGTTATAAAGGCAAAGTGGGATTCCATAGGGGCGGGGCTCACTACGGCGCACATGCGCAACTAAGCTCAGGTGGCCTCCACCACGGAAGCGAAGCCACCTACCGACGCCGCGCCGCTTGGAGGATACTGCGCACGCGCTCGCGGGCCGAGGCCCCAGTGTGCGTTGCCGCCTCTGCCACCGCGGCGTCCAGTGGATTTGAGTCTCGTGCTTTCTTCGTTCGCTCGCCGGGGCTTTCGCGCCCCTCTTGCGTCTTTGGGCAGCGAGGCTGGGGAAGGGGTTGGAGGGGGATTTTGACCGCTGCCTTTAAGTTGTGCTCGGGGCGGCCATGTCGGCCGGCGAGGTCGAGCGCCTAGTGTCGGAGCTGAGCGGCGGGACCGGAGGGGATGAGGAGGAAGAGTGGCTCTATGGCGGTACGGAACTTCCTGTCCCTTCTGTCTCTCCCGGGTTCTTCCAGGCCTCCCCTCCCGGCGCGCAAACGGTCGTCCTCTCGGGCCCTTCACGGCTCCGTCTGGGGCCTCTTCTACGGAACCTGGTTCGGCCTAAGTCAGGCCCAGAGCGGGGTGCGCGTTCCCCGGCCCGCCCCGGCCTCCTCTCCCCCAGCCCACACCCCCAATACGCACGCAGCCCGCGGCGGCTAGGTCGGACCGGCGTTTGGGGCACGGGGCACGGGGCCGGGCCCCAAGCCTCGCCCTTCGCCCCGCCGGAGCCTCTCGGTGGCCTCGCCTCCGCGCTTTTTACTTTTTTTTTTTTTTCCTTAATATCGATTCTGAGTAGTGTTGGTATGTCTCTCTTTAAGCCCCTTGGATGTAGGATGCCCACCGTGTCCCTTTCTTTAAGCAACAGTCATTCTGTAATAGCTAATAAAGTTGATGCTGTAAAACTAACGTCTTGTTTCTTAATGGTCAGTTTGTATGGAATGCACCTGCAAGGGTACCTCCTTGTCTGAAAGTCGTGCTTAAAAAATAATTAATTAAGAGAAAGAAAAAGATGGAATACATTTTGGCCCATAAAGAAAACCCCGAATGTCTCCTGTATGTATTAAGGTGAAGTTTTTCTTTTTTAAGAGACTGCTCGTTAACCCACATCGTAGAAGTAACACATGTCTCTTAGGCTTATAGTTTTCAGTACCATCTTATGTATTTATTTTTCTCGAAATAAGTTAAATATATCTTGTACTTCCTTTTTGAAAGGAACTTGTTCAGGCGTTTGGTTTTTAGCTTTTATTAAGTCAAAGTCCCTTGTTACAGATACTGGATTTGAAAGATAATATTTGTTCCTTACCAGGATTGTATGTTCTTCATTGTCTTCAGTATAGTAAAAGTGTATGTTCGGGCACCATGGAGCTCCTTGAGGATGTGACTTTGACAACTTTGATTTTGATAAACTTGTAAAGTCATTTGTCTTCGGTGCAAGATGTAGCATTAGTAATAATTCTTTGAAATGTAAATATGTAGGGTTTATTTTGCAAAGATATAGAAGTCTTTATACCTCTTAAGTTTATTTTTATGGAAGTAAAGTCTGATTTTTTTTATCATAAAAGACATATCTTGTTAAGTCATTATAAGGTGATCTAACTTTGGATGTGCTTATAGGCCCATGGGACGTGCATGTGCACAGTGATTTGGCAAAGGACCTAGGTTAGTGCTTGTGATGATCACTTCAGATTTTCATACTACTGGTTTCTTTAAGAGTAGTTTGTTAATTTTATTTATTTATTTATGTATTTTTTTTTCGGTAGATGAAAATGAAGTTGAAAGGCCAGAAGAAGAAAATACCAGGTTAGTGAAATTTCTTGTTGATACTTAACAGATCGTGTGATACAGTGGTTTTTGTCAACAAATTGTCAAAATTCATTGATTACAACGTTTTGACCAAAGGGTGGAAGATATTGAAACTTTGGGAGTTTATTTCTATTTCAGGACCTAATTTTATACTAGTCTGTTTCTTTGCCTGTAACTTAGGGGACAATGATTTTGAAGTTAGGGTTTAACTACTTTTCACTGTTAAGTAATTTTTTTACTTCTCAGTGAGCTCAATAGTGGGGTATACAATGTAATCATTAGACTGCGAAGAAAAAAGTTTTAACTTTTTTCTTGGAATAAAATTTTTTTAGAATAAATAATTTTAAATTACTATTTTCACAATATTTCTGATGTTGTAATGCACTTTGGTTATAATGTCCACGTTTTGTGGTTAAATGCAAAGGAGAATTAATTGTTAAGATTAGTTCCCTTTGTTACATTACTAGAAAATTGAGTATTGTTTATAGAACATGTACAGGGAGCCAGAAACTGAATTCTAAATTTCAAAGCAGCTCACTCATACAGGTTAATGGATATGCTGACTTTATGGCTTAGCTTTTAAAGAATATCTGGGTTTAATGAGTGAAGGAAATAGTACTTCACTTCCATTAGGTTGGCTGTAGTAAAAAAGACCACAACAGGTGTTGGCGTGGATATGGAGAAGTTGAAGCCCCCGTTCACTGATGGTGAGATTGTAAAATGGTGCAGCTATTTTGAAAACAGTCTGGCAGTTCCTTGAAAGGTTAAATAAAGAGTTATCATATGATCCAGGAATACCACTTGTAGGTCTATACTCTTTAGAGAAATCACAACATACATCCATGCAAAAACTGGCGTAATAAGTTCTCACTTAACATCGTCTATAGGTTCTGCAAACTTAGGTGAAACTACCTATAATGAGACCAGTTCTGCCATAGGCTAATTGATAATAAACAAATCACATACCTACATATCCTATCAACGTTGTAAGAAAATGATGTTGAACGAAAGGACATTATTCGAGCACCTGCTGTACACAAGTGTTCATAGCAGCAGCATTCATAATGGCCAAAAATGGAAATAACCTGTGCGTCAAATAATGAATGGACAGATAAAATGTGGTATATTTATACAGTGGAATACTATTTCACTGTAAAAAGGAAAGAATTACTTAGATGTTAAAACAAGGGTGAACCTTGAAAACATGCTAAGCGAAAGATGCCAGTCACAAAGGACTACATGTTGTATAATTCTGTTTATATTCAATGGGCAGAATACGTAAATCCATAGAGACACCAAGTAGTTAGTGTTTGCTGGGACTGGGTTCAGGGCAAAATGGGAACTGACTAATATATACAAGATTTTATTTTGGAGTGATGAAAATGTTCTGGAATTATATAGTTATTGTTGCACTATGTTGTAAACGTACTAAAAACCATTGGGTTGTACATTTCAAATGAGTGGATTGTATGGTATATGAATTGTTTTCTCAGAGTTGTTATTTAAAAACAAGTGAATGGAGGGAAGAAGTGAGAAGTAGAAATTTGGGGGTGCTGAAGTTAAACTATTATTCTTTTTTAAAACTATCTCCTAAATGGAAAGACTTTTTTTAACTTACTGCTATATTATCTAGCATTTAGTTTTTAAATTTATATAACCTGCCCAGCTTCTAAAGCTAATCTTAACCACAAAATGAGGATTTGTGTAATTTACCGTTGGAAAGTATTTAAATATTTCTTTATGCTTTTTTCAGTTGGTCAAGAAATTAATTGATAACAAGGTACAGATGCACTAAATACACTTTTTTGTAAGCCAGTTTTTATTCCATTTTTGTTAATACTAGTTTTTGGCTACAAATCTTCAAGCTTATTTTCTTTTTTCTTTAAATACAGATTTTATTTATTTATTTTAAATGTCAAAATCCATTATAAAATATTAAAAATTTTAAATCCATTGTAAAGTCTCAGCAATTAAAACAACATAACACTAGCACAGAAATAAGTAGATCAGTGAAATAAAATGAGCATTCTAGAAACAAACATATATCTAACAGTGTAATATATGATTCAGTTAGTATTTCACATTAATGGGGAAAATAAGCTTATTCAGCAAAGTGCATGAACCACTGTTACTTGAAATAAAACATAGAGCCCTATTTCACACATTATACAAAAAAAATACTTGGATGAGTTAAAAATCAATATGTAAAAATCCAAGGAGTTTTAGGAGAAAATACAAAATAATATTTTTGTTACCCTGAAGTAAACTATTCAAACCCAGAAGCTATAAAGTAAAATGTTGACAATATGACTATATTAAGCATTTAAGACTATATAGTAATCTACATATAAAAAAAGTTAAAAGGGCAAGTAATAGAATAGAAAAATATTTGCAACACATCTAAAAAAGGGTTAATAGTTTTTTTTTGTTTGTTTTTAGGGAAAATGTTCTACAAACATTTAGTCAAAAAATGGAAAAAGAATACCAAAAAGTCATATAAAGGTTTTTAAAAATAATAGAAATAGGCACGAAATAAACAAAAAAAGGTTTAGTTTCAACAAAAAGTAACAAAATAACACATCATTGTTACAATGTGATTAATAAGTAGTAAAAATATTGGTAATACCAAGATTTGGTGACTGAAAGGAACTGCGTATTCATAGACTCTTCTCCATCTTCTTAAAGCAGTCCCTTTAGCATCTTGCATTGCTGGTTTGGTGGAGGTGTATTGTTTTAGTCTTTTCTGTGGGAAACTTCTTATTTTGCCTTCCATTTTAATTGAGAGCCTTGCTGGGTAGAGCAGTCTTGGTTTCAGGCCTTTGCTTCTCATTACTTGGAATATTTCTTGGTATTCCCTTCTGGCTTGTATGCTCGCCGTACTGGGCTCCCTTGTACTTGTTTCTCCCTTGCTGCCTTTATGATTCTCTGTTTGTCTTTGATATTTGCCATTTTAATTATGATGTGTCTTGGAGTGGGTCTCATTGGGTTCCTTTTGAATGGGACCCTCTGTGCTTCCTGGACTTGTGTGACTTTTTCTCTCCTCCAGTTAGGGAAGTTTTCCATCATTATTTTTTCAACTAGGTTCTCTATCCCTTCCTCCTCCTCTTCTTCTTCAGGTTATCCTGCATTTCCCTAAACGACTCTTCATTCTCTTTGAGTCCTTTTTCATTTTCTCACTCTTTCTGGGAGCTTTTTACTACCTTATCCTCCAGCTCGCTGATTCATTCTTCTGCTTCATCGAGCCTGCTTTTGATTCCTTCGACTGCATTCTTCAATTCAGAAATTGTATTCTTCATTTCCTCTTGTCTCTTATTGATAGTTTCTATGTCTTTTTTCATGCTGATATATTTGCAGTAAGTTCCTCATGGTTTCCTGGGAGATTTTTGTAATTCTCTCTGAGTTCACTGAGCTCATTGAGCTTCCTAAAAACCGTTGTTTGGAACTCAGTACCTGATAGTTTACTTGCCTCTATTTCATTTAGTTCTCTTTCTGGGAATTCCTCCTTTCCCTTCGACTGAGGGATGTTTCTTTGTCTTCCCATTATTTGTGAGACTCTTCTTTTTTTCTTCTGCTTCTTAAATTGATCTGTCTTGATTTCCCTGACTTTGTGGTGTGCACTTGTATGGTAGGAGACTGCTGTTTTTTCTTTCTGGATCTGACTCTTAATGATGTCAGCTTTTGATCCTGCCTGACCTTAGGCAAACCAATAGGGCTGCCTAAGTAGTCAATTGATATACAAGCGTCTGCCTGGCTTTCTGTCTTCATCAATTTTATTGAATATATATTCGATGTTGTATTAAAAAAAAGATAACTTTTTAAGGCTGCCTTGAAATTTGATACTAGTGACAGTGGCAGACAGATGCACTAAAAAACTAATTGCTTTTTTAAGACCAGACTTTGCCATTACAACAAAATTGACACAATAGGACATTCTTTTCCTATGTCTTCGTTGCAAGTGTCTTATTCTCAAACATAGAGCCATTAACTATCAAGTAAAACTGCAATTGACTACTAAATTGCAAACCAAACACTGACCTTAGGAAGTGTTTGAGACTTCCAGGAATGTACTGTCTGTGGCTGTCTCCTTCAGCTGTTAATCTAGTCACTCTGCACTCAAAAGTCAGGCTTAGGCACCAGAGTGTGGGGCAGAGTCCCTCCTGGGGGCGGGGTTATTGGATCCTTTCACACTGCTGATGCTCAGGGGAGTGATTTGCCTGAGCCATGTGGCTGCTGTCTGGAGGGGGGAGTCAGCATCGGAATCCCGCCAGCTACTCTCTCCATTCTGTCCTCAAAGCCTCTGTCCCCAGTCTTCTCCTCAAGTGTCTCTTGACCACTCTGTCCCCTTTAGCCAAGGATCTACTATCTGTGGCTGCCACTCTGTACTCAGCAGTCCCATACTTACTTTCTGATCGAACATTCTTTAATTTTAATTCCTCAATACACAGCTTGATTAAATTTGAGAGGTGCCTTCTACCTTCCCTGAGCATCACTGTCAAAAATCTCTGTATTCCTTATTCAAACTTTTTTGGAGAGCTATTAAATTTATTTCATCCTATGGAAAACATCTACCTGTAAGATAATTATTTTTCTAGAAAATGCTTATAATTTTATTATGTTTTTAGCATTTTAATGGTGATAGAGAATTAAAACTTTATTGGGGGAGAGAGCACAAAACCTGTGTTGTTGTATCCAGTGTGGTACATCATTGCATTGACCTAAGTGGGCTGAGTTTTTGTTATTAGAGGATTCCCCAGTTTCTTTGTGACTGGTTAATTGTTAAAAACCTGTTTTTAACCATTTTGTTATACTGGCTCGAATTCTCTCGTGTTTTATTTATCCATGTTTTGGCTAATTTTACTGTTTAGTGATATAAACAAGCTGAACTTCTTTCTGGCTACCTAGAAATTTATTTAAGTAGGAGGTAAATGTACTGAAGAAATATAGTTGCAGGTTCATTTTCTTGGATCAATCAGGATGACTGTTTATCAGATGTGCTGTCAGGTTTTATTCTTCATTTTACTTTATTTGGAGATTATATTAAAAAAATAGCAAGGTAGAGATTAAATTGATTTATATAGAAACTGCCTGATAGAGAGTGAAATTTAGAAGATAGCAAAAATCATATGAGGTCTTTGAACTAGATCACCTGGACTGACTTACTTACTTACTTACTTACTTTATTTATTTATTTTAGAAAGGCTACTCAATAATTGTTAGTTGCTTTGTACTTGCATTTCCTTATCTGTAAAATGTAGTTAATGCCTACTTTCCACTATGGAAATCATAATTATTAAAATTATAAGAAACTTACTTACTGATTTATTTTAGAAATGCTACTAAATAATTGTTAGTTGCTTTGTACTTGCATTTCCTTATCTGTAAAATGAAGTTAATTGCTAATTCCCTCTATGGAAATCATAATTATTAAAATTATAAGAAACCAATTACACTGTAGTACTAGAAGTTTTACTTGATAGTTAATGGCTCTATGCTTGAAAATAAGACACTTGCAAAGAAGACATAGGAAAAGAATGTCCTATTGTGTCAATTTTGTTGTAATGGCAAATTCTGGTCTTAAAAAAGCAATTAGTTTTTTAATGCATCTGTCTGCCACTGTCACTAGTATCAAATTTCAAGGCAGCCTTAAATAAAGTTTTTATCTTTAAGTTTATTCTTTTATACAACATCGAACATATATTCAATAAAATTGATGAAGACAGAAAGCCAGGCAGAAGCTTGTGTATCAGTTGACTACTAAAGAGTTAATATGATCCATATTACAAATTTGAAAAGAGGAAACTGTTACATTGTCCTTGGCAGTTATAGTAGTACTTGTCATACAATGGATGTTTGGTAAATAGTTAGGATACATAAAACTGATTAAGTGGGATGCATATTTTAAAAATGTAAAAAAGAAAAGCCCTGCAACTGTACCCCACCATCAAATTGCAAATTTGGCATCATTAATAAATTGTAAGGCAGATCCATTCTATTTCTAATGTTGACTACATCTTTTAGGTAAGGCATGAGGAATAGCAGAGTATTATAGATAGGTAGTTTTTACCATCCAATGGAGACAATTTTAGAAAATAATCAGACATAGCTTAAAAATACCAGTATATAGTATCTGAAAAAATTAATACTAGGCATGTATATTTATTTTTGTTTGTAGTGCTAATAATCCTCCATCTGGAACTGAAGATGAAACTGCTGAAAATGGCGTGCCTAAACCGGTAAACATAAGGCATTAAAATCTAGTTACTTCTCTGTTTAAAATCCGTATCAATAGTTTTGTGTTTACTTAGGAGGAAAGCTAAAATTTAATGACTTTCAGTATCCTGCTTTATCTGGCCCCCTCTTACGTTGCCTACCTCATGTGGTGCCATCAAAAGCATAGCAAAGAGAAGGATAGAAAGATTTGAGATGAAATAGGGAATGTGCAAAGGCTAGATGTTTATTTCAAGGAACTGAGTGGTTGTAGATCAATGAAATAGTTCATATCCTGATTTTCAAAGCAAACATTTGGGTCTTGTGAAATGCAAGTTTGATTGTCATGTTTTTAGCAAAAAAAAAAAAAAAAAATTTTTTTTGTATGAGTGACGGTCTTTGACTTCATACATGTTAAAAGTGATGTTTTGGAGGGATGTGAACATACTATGAGTGCTATGACTACTTTTAACATTCTAACCCAATTTAAAAAAAAACAGGAAGGTTGTTATTCTGCAATTTTGAATTTGTATACAAAACTTACTTTTGCCTAGGTGTTCAACTTTTTAAATTTCTGCTATGTGACCAAGCACTAAATAGCCTTTTAGAGCCAAAACAAAACCTTCGTAAATGGCCCTACTTTTACTCAGAAACAAAGTATTCCCTCAACCATTTGCGTGCAGGACCCCTTCTAGGTGTAAGTTAATTCCAGGAATAAGTAAGCTTTTTAACCATGACACTGTGAATCTTAAAATGGTTTTCCTCTTAACTTTATATTCTTTTTACCAAGGATTTCTCAAATATTTTTTATAATTCTGTCTTCTCTATATCTTAGTAAATTACCTTAGACCCTTTTTGCAAGAGGAGCAGTTACAAATAGTAGGAAAAAACATGATGTATTGAGATGATGGACAAAAAATTGGTTTTCACATTCTTATCCTTTTCTGTCATGTAAAACATTGAATAAATGAAGTAAGTAGCAGTTCTCTGAGCTTATAACTTTTTTCTGTAAAACTAGCTTACTTGCAAAGTGGATACTTCAGTTATTCATATTAGATACTGAAATGGATTATTGAATATATTTTAAAATTGTTTATGTTGGTATAGAAAGTGACCGAGACTGAAGATGATAGTGATAGTGACAGCGATGATGATGAGGATGATGTTCACGTCACTATCGGAGACATTAAAACGGGAGCACCACAGTATGGGTAAGTTATTTTTAAGTAACAATTGCATGACTAAATCAAAAGTAGTGAGCCAATATTACACTATTAGTGGTTGATTCCATTGTTTTTGTATTTTTCCATCTTACCATGATATATATGAAAGAACTCTTGTTAAAATTTCACCTGAGTTGCTAAGAGAGTGGCTCTTAAAAATTCTCACTGGATGAAAAAAAACATGTGTAACTGTGTGTGGTAACATAGGAGGTCTGTCTAGAAAGTATCCAGCCAAAAATAGAGACATTTATTGAAGAAGATACTAAATACATTGTACACAGGGCAGTGAAGCCTCAGCCCCTTTCAAATTAGGCACCTTGGGACCTCACACTGTTCTCCTAATTGTCATCAGCTGCCTTGTATTTTCCTGAATCTCGTCAGTGGTCTAAAATCTCTTCCCTCTCAGGTGATTTCAGTTTTGGGAAAAGCCAGAAGTTGCAGGGTGCCAAATCTGGGCTGTAGCAGGGCTGAGTCACATGGGTGATATGATGTTTATTGCCAAAAAAACTGCACGAGATGTCATGCATGAGCAGGTGTGTGTCATGATGAATCTGTCAATCACCAGCTACCCATTGCTTTGGCCTTCTGAGTCATCTGAGTAGTTTCCATGGTGGAATATTTGAGCTTAACACAAAATTTGATGCAGATTCGTTGCTCTGCTTACTCATCGTTTTGAATGCAAGGGCTGCACAGTGTACATGCTCACTCAATGGCACCTACCACCCCCGCTGACTAGTACAGTGAAGTCATCATTGTTCATGCATACACATTCCAGTCCACTCTTGATGCTTGGTCACATCCATGTAATGCAAACTGTTCTTGTTATATTAACAGTGGTTGGACTTTTTCTGGACAGACCTCATGAAAACTAAAATTTGCAATTCAAATATATATCGAATCATTATGTTTTGCATCTAAAATTAATACAATGTTATATTTTAATTATAGCTCATGATAAAAGATTTTATCATGAAATATTTTTCTTAAAGATAAGTAGGTAACGTTATATGAAAGCAGCAGTTCTATTTGCTGAAATGAGAGTGTTTTTATAAATGAATTGATACAACAAATTTTAAGTTAGAATTAGAAAACCTTAAATTGCAGTTTACATTAGTATTGTTCTGCGATTTTATTACTTATCCAAGCCCAAGTGACAGACTTAAAATTAGTTTAACACATTTTCTAAAATATGTGAGTCATTGTCAGTTTATCCATTTACTTTGTGGTTCTATATATTTGTATACATTGAATATATTGTTTTTGTTTAAGTTTCTCAGGATAATTTTTTGTTTTTAGGAGTTATGGTACAGCACCTGTAAATCTTAACATAAAGACAGGAGGAAGAGTTTACGGAACTACAGGTAAAATTTTTATTTGCAGCTGCATCAGTAGGGAAATAGGGCATAAATCTGAATAGGTGGTAACTGGATTGTAAAAACTATTACAGCTCAATTAAAAACAACAGTTTTGACCATGTATCACGGGGCTAGATAATGCATATTTTAATTTAGGTTGTGTGGGCTCTTGGCATAGTGTTTTGTTTGCTTTTTACTTGTCTTACAGCCCTTTAAAAAAGTAAAAACATTTCTTAGCTCACAGACTATATAGAAACTGAAGTAAAACATGGAAGTTAGCAATTTCCTAGTGGTACAGGAACCCCTTATTGTAAGTAACAAGTCCCTAATCTCTCCATCCATTTTATCTTATAGTTGTACTGTAAAGTTTGACTTTATCTTTTATTTATGGTAAACATTAATACTTTATTTGGAACCTTTGCCATATATAGTGCTAGGAATAGTAAAAAGGTATCAGTGTTTTCTGTTTGTCTATTGTACGTCTCAGCTTCTTGCTAATGTAGCTCTTTCACCAATTTGTAATTTTATAAAACAGGAACAAAAGTCAAAGGGGTAGACCTTGATGCACCTGGAAGCATTAATGGAGTTCCACTCTTGGAAGTAGATTTGGATTCTTTTGAAGATAAACCGTGGCGTAAACCTGGTAAGGTTATTGTAGATTCTATCAATTTCCAAAGATTTACAGTATAAAGAGTTAACAGAAAAGTATTTTTTATTATCAATTTATTATTGGTTTAGTGTCATTTTGTAGTCTTAAATGCGTGAGAAAAATAACTAATGTAATAATTTAATCATTGATAACGAATTCATTAAAGCTTGCTGGTGGTGTAGCATTATATTAAAGTACACTTACATATTTGTTTTAAGATTTTATTTATTTTTAGAGGGGAAGGGGAAAGCGGGGGAGAGAGAGAGAGACATCAATGTGTGTTGCCTCTTGTGTGCCCTCCCTCCCCCGGGACCTGGCCGGCAACCCAGACATGTGCCCTGACTGGGAATCAAAACAGCAGCCCTTTGGTTTGTAGGCTGGTGCTCAGTCCACTGAGTCACACCAACCACGGCTGCATATTGTTTTATTATAAAGCATTTCTAAAAGAAAGAATTTTAATCAGAATCCTTATAGTTCTCTTGCTTTATGGTAATTGGGAGAACTGGTAAAATTAGAAGGAGTGATAAGACTAATAGAACTCTGTATTTTATAGTTCATTATATTTTATATACTGCATAAAAATAGAATTGAAATACTTGTACACTGAAAGCATTTTTTATTTTTAGGTGCTGATCTTTCTGATTATTTTAATTATGGCTTTAATGAAGATACATGGAAAGCTTACTGTGAAAAACAAAAGAGGATACGAATGGGACTTGAAGTTATACCAGTTACCTCGACTACAAATAAAATTACGGTAATTAATAAATGTTCCAAAATATCCCAGGCTTTTCTACTGTCCCAGTTTTACTTCCCCATTAAATCACTTTTTCCTCTAAAGGTGGTTAATAGCTGTATGATAGTTTAAAAATTCCATTCTTTTTACTATGTTTGTTTTTTTCCCCCTCCTTCCTTTTCAGTTTCATATTAATGATTTTCTCATGTTCTTAGTTTCAAGTCATAGACTAGCCACAGCTAGTCTTTATATGGCCTATCAATTAAAAAATTATGTTATTTAACTTAGGCCGAAGACTGTACTATGGAAGTTACACCAGGTGCAGAGATCCAAGATGGCAGATTCAATCTTTTTAAGGTGAATTTTAGTAAATTATCCTTGGTTGCTCTCATTTTTTGTTTTTGAGTCTGCTTCCATACCACTACTCAAGGGACAAGATTAAAGTGGAAATAGCTATCTTTTTTCCAGACCTTCAGCTTCCTGGTGACTGACAGGTTTGCTGATTGTTTTATCTCCACTTTTGCAAGCATGTGAGTTTATAGCCTATTATACTAACAAATGCCAAGTAAAACTATTCTTACTATGTATATTGTGATTTTGAGTCACAGAATATTTGTAGGATATAAAAGTTCATGCCAACAGGTTAAACTCTTATTGTAGATCATGCTATAATCTTTATCAGAATTAAAGATTCATTTTTCCTAATTATCTTTTTAAAAATGATAAGGAAGGTGGCTTATCTGTGACCCTGAAATAATTGGTGTAGTTTAAGATAGCTCACGAATCTTAGGCATTCTTTAAGAGTCTTTTAGGAGGACTCAACAAAATAGGATAAAGCCATTGATTTTTAAATTAAGTTTAAAAAGGAGTAGATTTGGTGAGGGACTTGGAGGCTGATACTACCACTTGTGCATCGAGTATGATTTTTGGCTTTTCCATTCCATATGATCACAGGCCAGTCCAAAGAATAACATATTTTCATACTTCTGTAATACAGTGCAATCTGCTGTTCTCAAAATCTGATTGTATACTCTTCTTTCTTTACCTTAATTCTTAATTTTTGACTCTTGTACTGAATGACACTGGGATGAAGACTGGGAGTGACTTTTAGGTTGATTTGTATATTTAGGGAATTTTTGTGGGCAGGAACTTTATTGTGCCCCTTTTAGGACTGCAACTCTGTCCACTGAAATACTGCCTTATGCAATACATGTGCTATATCCGCAGATGTAGCCGCTCTGCTGGACACAATTCTGTATAGAGAATTTAATTTTAATTTACATCCTACTCTGGGTGAGTATTTGGTTCTTGTTCTGCTGTAACTATTTTAAAAGTGTGTGGTGATGTTTTTTTATTTTAAATGGGCATCAGGTTCTTTTTGGTGATATCTGCTTATTTAGACATTGACCATATTGCTATACATGATTACAATGAATAGACAGAAAAGTTGTTTTGATAATGAAATAGTTTATTTGCAGTGATGCTTTGTATTTTCTTCCAATAGAAATTAGAACTTCCTTTGTAAACTGGAAGCTTCTCTATACTTTGTCTTTTTGCAGTGAACTTCTTAAACTAAAAAATAAAGAAGCTTCTAGAGACTGGGCTCTTACTGAAGGTAGCCATTGTGAATGAGTTTTTTAATACACATACTGTATATTGAACAATTATTTTTGAAGTTTCTTTTGGTTATATGAGAGGAGGTCATTGTGCCATTCTAAATGATTTGATCCTGAATGAATTAGAACCTGAATTTGCTGAGTGTAGTTTAATGGTTTTTCTTACCTCGATAATGTAGTTAAATATTACTTACCTGTTAGAAATAAATAGGGTGTGTGTTTTAATGTGTGGCTCACATTTTTTCTTTATGTATGTTGTGGTCTGTAGGATGTATTTTATTGATAATGCTCAAAATCTGCAGCTGGTCTGTGTGAGTGTTTGGCATTTTTGGACTACAATTTGGTATGCACTGAATTATCAGAAAAGTTTTTGTGATCTTAATTTAAGAAATATCCTTGCCCTGGCTGGGTGGCTCAGTTGGTAGGAGTATCGTCAAATACACCAAAAAGTTGTAGGTTCGGTCCCCTGTCAGGGCACATGCCTAAGTTGCAGGTTTCCTTCCTGGGTCTGGATGCATATGGGAGAGAACCAGTAGGTGTTTCTTTCTCACATTGATGTTTCTCTCTCTCCCCCACCCCGTCTCCTCCCCATTTTTATCTCTCTTCCCTCCCTCCACTCGACCGTCCCCCCCATCCTCTAAAATCAATTGAAAATATCCTGAGGTGAGGATTTTTTTTTTTAAAAGAAATATTCTTGTTGGACCTTGGCCGTGCAGTTTAGTTGGTTAGAGCATTGTCTGTATATGCTAAGGTTGCAGGTTCAATCCCTGGTCTGGGCACATACAAGAGTCAACCAGTGAAAGCATTAATGGGTGGAACAACAAATTGATGATTCTTTTTCCCTCTTTCCCTCCCCTTCCCCTCCTCTCTAAAATCAGTAATTTTTAAAAAAGGAAAAAATATCCTTGTTTAGGTTTCTGTGGGATTCTTTTTGAAAAAGTACTAGTTGTCTGTTTTACTATCCTGCAACTATGGAGAGTACAAAAAAATTATAATGATTTAACTGGTATCCCAGATATGCAGAGGTAAATTTCTTAGGTATTAAATGCTAAAATGTATATTTTAGAATGCTATAGAAATTGAGAGAGTTAATTAGAATTGTTTTGTAATTAGAAGTTACATTGGGTATTATATAGGTTCACTTTTTTTTTAAATCTAAAATAGGCTGCAGTGGTAGAGAAGTATATGCCATTTTAATCAGCGTTCAGAGTGTGGAGAAGGTAAGAAAAATATTACAGATTGAGAAAATGGATTGCGCAAAGGAACTTATGTTTTAACTGAGTAGAAGTGATTAAGAAATTAGCAGCATTGGATCAGAGAATTATTTTTGGAAAGGAGAAGAGAGATGGCTTTGTGTAGTGTGATTTAATTCTAGAAAGCCTAGAAATAAAAAGTATGAGTTGAAAGAGTTAACTTCCTATTTGTGAATAGGAGAGTGACTTCTTAAGTTAACACTGACCCCATTTTGTGGTGTGGCTGGATAAAGAAAGTCCAAGCTCTTACCCATTTATTCACCATATGAACTAGAATTAGTAGGATTGGTGAGAAAAAGAAGAAAAAAACTTCCAATTTTCTTGTTATATCTGAGCACCTTCAGGTGTCCAGATGCTATGGTAAGAGAAGGTTTCTGTATCTGAGGAGCTCATGACCCAAAGTGATATGTACATAAGGAGCTTATGATTTAAGTGAAGTGTGCATGTGAAGTAACCACGATATATTGTGACAAATGTTAGGGTGATGGTTTTGACAAAGTGCAGTAGAGAGTTCCAAGGAGAGAGTGTTATCCTACACTAGAGAGTCTAGCAGAATGAGGGAGTTTTCATTAGTAGGAGAAAAGGGAATATAGCAACATGAGCAAAACCAGCTAGCACGAAAAGAGAGTTGAGGTGGAGGAGAGAAGCCTGGAAATGGTAGAAGTGGGGCCATGAGGAGAAAGACAGTGATCTTAAACTAGCCTGCAGATATTTGTATAGGCAATAGGAAGCCATTGGAAAGTTCTTGAGTAGAATAGCATGGGCAAATCTGGTTTGTAGAAAAAAGACTGGCACCCGGGTAAGCCATGTAATGTTAAGAGGAAGAAAAGGAATTCAGAGATCAGGTAGGAAGCTGTTTTAGTTCTGCGGAAACAATGAATAGGGACCTGAACTTGCACTGCTAACTGGACAAAGCAAAAGATCTAAGTTCTTTTCATATCTACTGCAAAGATTTTTTTTTTTTACTCCTTAGAAACAAGCAACCTGTTGTCCTCAATTTTTTTTACTTTTCATTAAGTAAATTTTCAAATATACTAACAAGTAGATAGAAATCGTACAAACGACCCCTCCGTGTTAATTATTATAGTGCCTATGATTATCAACATTTTAACATTCTCAAAGTCTTTTATATACTTCAAAAATAAAGTTTTGTTTTCCTGTTTTTTTGTTTATTATTAGTAAATCAAAGAGGTAGGAGTCTAATAGGTATAAAATAAAAGCCACTCAATTGGCTACAAAACCACTTGTGTAATTGATTTGGAGCTTAAGGGTAAGAGAGGAGTGACTGGTGGGTATAGATAACATGTATGTGTAAAAAAAAACAAAACAAAACCATAACCTTCCAGAATATTTTCTTTATTTTTTAACTTTCTGCTTTCTTCTGCTTCCCCCCATTCAAATATTAGACCTTTTATGCTGCTTTTTGTTTTTAAAGATTTTCTTACCTTTTCTCTCTTATATTCCATATCTATCTTCCATTTTTTGAGAGATTTCTTCAGCCTTACAGCCCTTGTATTTTTTCATTTCTGTTGTTATATTTTAATAGCCAAGAAGACTTCTTTTCAGTATTTAACTGTAGCATCCTATTCTTGTTCATGCAAACAGTGATAAAATATCTCCCCCGCGCCCCCATTCTTTCAAAAGATACTAATAGGGTGTTTTTTTCCCTACATAGTCTGTTTTCTTCAAGTTGATGTTTTAAGTTTGTTGTTTTTGGTTTCTGACTTTGACTTTTCTCAAATGTTTGCTAATTATTTGCCATTCAGTCATGGGAGAAGCCACCAAAAAGGTGATTGGAAGCTCTCTGTGCATATGAATAGAACTGGCTGACTGCCAGCTCTACCTTAGTTCTAAGCTTTTTTTCACAGCCTCTGATGTCAGTATCTTTATGTTTTTAAACTTGTGTGTGTGTGTGAGAGAGAGAGAGAGAGAGAGAGAGAGAGAAAATCTGACTTTTTTCAGAGAAGACATTCAGTATCTTACCTAGAGGATTTATACTTGACTGATTTGAATGTTGCCAATTCCTGAACTTTTGGGATCCTGCCATGAAAATTAATTGTCTTTGCTTTGTCATTGCTGATTTAAGATTCAGATTTCTTTGGTCTTCTAAATCTGTTACTATTTTTTCATCCACTTTCAAAGTCCTGAATTTTGTTGCTTTCACGATCTTTGTTCTTGGGGTTGAAACAAAATTGTGACAATTTATGTGGTTTTCTGTTTTGTCTTTTTTTCACCTAAACATTATGTGATAAATGGTTTCCTAGGTTATTAAAGATTTTTGATAAACAACACTTTAAATAGTTGCATAATCCATTATTTTGCTTTGCCACAATTATCAAGTTTCTTTTTAGATATTTTGTTTGTAATGTCAGACTTTTATAAATAATGGTATAAAGGGCAGCTGAAGGAAATTTCACAGAATAATTTAAGTTTTGATACAGTGGTAGCGTAATTTAGCTTCTCAAGTTTATAGCTTTAGTCAACTTTTGTTTGGATATGTAAGGTCTGACATGAATTTGTTTTTAGAAAATCAGTCATGGTGTTGTACAGTCATTTCTTAAAATATTAGACCATGTGAAAAAAATAATCGTATGTCCTGATTAAAGAAATTTTGAATCTGTGTAATCATGAGTGCAACATCTGAAGACAAACAAGTGGATAATGATAATGAAGTTGATTAGGAGGACTGCTGGAAGAGTGAGGGTTTTCAGAGTAAGAAGAAAACTGAGGAAACACAAGCAATTTTTACATGTAAAATGTACCTATCTCCTGATACATTTTCTTCTCTTGTATTTCTTCTCTTCCCTTTTTCTTTTTTTCTTTCCTCTTCTACTTTTCTTCTCTAACCCTTCTCCCTTCTCCTTCCCAATTTTTAATTGAGCATTGACTGCCTGAAAGTATCTCAGGTTGGGTGTGGGGAGGAGGTGAGCATTACAGACATAGATAGACTCTGTGTCTTAGAGTTTATCTGACTTCATGGGAAAGATAGGTATTAATTAGATAATAATACCAAAAATTATAGAAACTCTGTGTCCCGTGAAAAACTTTGAAGGAAAAACTGACATTTAAGGCGGGTCCTAAAGTTAATCAAATAACATAGGATATTGAGCACTTACTTCATGTCAGACTCGGCACTGTTTTTGGCACTTGGGATATAGATTTGAACTGGCCATTGACATGTTTTCAAAGATTCTATGTTGCTGTGGCAGCAAACAGGTTATAACCATACAATAAGTAATTTCAGATAACTATACTAAGAAGAAATTCTATGAAGAAAATATAAAATGATAATATGATAGAGATTGTTCAGGAGTGGTTAGAGAAGACCACTCTAGGAAGACATGTGAACAATATTTGAATGATTGGAAAAAAGGTAGCCATGATACAATCTGGGGAGAGAATATTCCAAATACAAGGAACATCTAGTTCAAAGGCTCTCATAAAGAGGAATTTATATGTTAAAAAAAATAAGAGAAAAGGCCAGTATGACTGGACAGAGTAAAGATAAGTTGGGGAGGAGTAGAGGAGAACAAGATGGGAAAGACACACAGAGCCTATACCATGCAAACTCTTGTAGGCCATTATAAGAAGTTTAGATTTTACTCTGTTTGCATTGGGAAGCTATTAGAGAATTTAGAGCAGGGAGAGACATGAGGTCATTTACACTTTTAATAAGATTGTTTTGGCTCTGTACAGACCATGGATTTTAGACAGGTGAGATGAAAGCAGAAAGACAAGTTAATTTAGTAGGATTATTGAAGTGTGGCAGTGGGTTTGACCTTCTTTCAGGAGAGGACATGATAAGTGCTTGAATTTGATATATATTGTAAAAGTAAAGTCAACATTGGAGATTAATATGTACTGGGTGATTGCTATGATTTTTTTTTCTCAAGCAACTTGGCAGCTGATGGTACCATTTACTTGTGTGAGAAAGAGAGGATCAGTTGGGAGATAGTGGGAAATTAGTAGTTTTTTCTCAGATACTTATTAGACATGTAAGAGTTGAATATAAGTTATTGGAGCTTAGGGGAACAGTTGAGACCACAGTGTCAGCTGAGTATTCCTGACATTCTCAGGAAGAGGGATTCCTTTCTTTTTCTGTGTTCTCATAGCAGCTTTTATTTCAGAGATTTTTTTTTTTATAGCATTTATTGTATTGCTCATTGTTTGGATGTCTGTCTTTTCCCATGATCTGGGATTTTGTATTTGTCTGTGTAGTCTCAGCTTCTGGTACAAATAGATATTTAGTGAATGTTTGAATGAATCATTTTTAGTTACCGTTACCACATTCTGTCAATTTTATCTGTCAAGTGTCTATCAAATCCATTTCTTCTTATCCTCATTTCTTAATGCTGATCTTCATCATTCCTCATTAGGATCAGTGCCTTTTAAATGGATTTTTTTTAAAGGAGCAGAACTTTTTTCCAAATAAAATGTCAATGTTAAACCTTAATTATATTGAGGCACCAGTTAGGGACTGGGTACGGTCGTATTAATAAGAGATCTGACTATAATGGCTCATAGTCAGAGATCTGACTATAATGGTAAATAAGGGTTCCTTTTTTTCACAATGATTATTCAAGAGGTAGATGTTTTCTAGAATTGAATCAGTGGTTTCACTGTGTCAGAGTCAAGGTTTCTGAGATTCTCTTGGCCTTTGCCTCATGGGGAAAGGAGAAGTGCAGAATTTAGTTTGAACAGGGGCAGTAGAATATAAATAGGGCACGGAGTATAGTGAAATGTTGTTCAAGTGCATGGCAGCTTGAACTTTGTTTATATTTAATAAATTCATAAGAATGTTAAGATAGGAAGGTGAGTGTAAAAGCAAGAGTGCATAGGAAGATATTTCATCATTGTAAAGGAGAATGATCAGACCAGAGGATCTGATAGGAGCAGAAAGGATGGACAAATCTGGGAGAAATTGAGTAAGTAAATAGCTGGTTTGAAAGTGAATATAAAGAGGGAGAAGATAAGGAGACAGTTGACTAACTCTCAGTTCGTCGGTATGCAGAACTGGCAAGATGTTGATGATGGTGGGAAAATGGGAGAAATAGTATGAAAATGCAGAAGCAGATCATTAATATTTGTGTCAGAGAAAATCACAGTCTGAATAGAAAATGGTCAGAATGGCTAAGGGTAGTGAATGTAGAAGGGGAAAAAATTCTTCAAAGCATTTCTTGAACTCTGAAACATCGAGTTGTAACCAAGTATCTTAGACTTACATGTGGTTATCTGAGGGAATTGATGACAGTCCTAAAGAGTTAGAGTTTATTGGACTTTTAAGTGACATTAATGTGAAAGTTTTCATTGTTGGGAACACTTTGATCTCATAATCCATCTTTGGTGTCCTTCACATAATGCTATTCTAAAATAGGTTCATTTTATTAAATACTCAGCAATAAAACATTCTCTATATTTAATTTGAAAACAAGTGTTACAAATTTATTTTAATCCCTTCATTGTATTTGTGTGCTCTCTTAAATTAAACAAGCTAATAACCCTTTTTTTTAAGGTACAGCAGGGAAGAACTGGAAATTCAGAGAAGGAAACAGCACTTCCATCTACAAAGGCTGAGTTTACTTCTCCTCCTTCTTTGTTCAAGACTGGACTCCCACCAAGCAGGTTAGTTAGACCATTATAACTGGATTTATTGAAGGCATTTGTATCTTCATCTTATATTAATGTTTTGTGAAGTATAAAAACTCTGAGCTACCAAGAAACTGGAACATTCTACTTTATTTTAGTATAAAATGAATTACTTGTGAAAAACTTGTCTGGGTGCTTTTTCATCTTAAAAAAAAATCTTTCATCTTAAAGTAAGCAAGAAATGAAATATGGTACTACAGTTACATGTGTGTATAGAGACAATTTTACATTCAGGAGAGTTGGTGACAGCAGTGTTCTTGCTGTTTTCTGTGCTTAGTTTTCTTATATAAAGAATTGTTGGACTTCCTTTAATCCAGATCTGTTGGCCTAAAGGTGTTTTACTAATTTTAGTAAAAGAGATTGTAGAAATTTCAGCCTGGGAGATCTTTCATATTAAAACCATTTTTTCTTTCTTTGGTTTGTTGTGATACTATCTAACTTTGAATTCTGCAAGATACCATATGCTGGAAGATATCCTATTAATTTAAATGTAACATAATGGTTAACTTGTTAGCAAAAAAATGGTAAAGGACTAGGTAACACTAGGAGAGTTTGATGTCAGCAGTTTAATCTTGTGTTAGACTTTATTTAAATCAGTTTCTTCTCTGAGCCTGAAATAAGCCAATAACCCAACTATTACTGGTTCTCAGCCATATCATTTACCTTTTGTGTTACATGCTTATATTTATTTTATATAGTTACCTGGTTTTGTTATTCTGCAATTTTGAATTGCTTTAAAAGATTATATTTTATAATATACAAATGCAAGAAGAGACCTTATGTAGTTTAGTCCTGAAATAGATATTCTTGAAACTTTCAGCTAAAATTAAATGTCACAAAGCCATTAAATTTTGACTCTTTCTCATCTTAACAATTATTAGTCATGGGCATTTCCAAATACAATTATTTAGACCTAGTGCAATGTCATAAAATGTTTGGCTAAGCAGTTATGCTAGATGAGGAATATTCTTTAAATATGTAGTGGGTTTTTTTTTAATATTTTAAAAGAGGTCAACTTTCATTCATTGAGTTTATGGTGGTCTATGGTGTAGAGTGATTTTAATAGCTTGGATTCTAGAGCCAGACTCTAAATTCTGGCTCTGTTTACTTACTAGCTTTGTGTCCTTGGACAAATCCCCTAATCTTGTTCTTTCATTTCCTGATCTGTAAAACATAGTAATAATACTTCCCTCACAGGGTAGTTATGTCTATTATATTAAATGGATTAATTTATGTACAGCTTTTTAGAACACTGGGACGTACCTACATAGTAAATAAATACTTTATAGATGTTTGTTATTATCATAATTAAATTAAACTATTTAAAAATCAATAGCAGTTTCTTGTACTTTGCATACTTATCCCCCTCTTTTTTTTTTAAACTTGGGTCAGATTATATAGAGGGCTTTGGCTTTCCTATAAGGGAAATGAATGAGAAGTCATCATCAGAATTTGAACAGAGGAATGAAATAATCTGCTTTAGGTTTTAAAAGTCTCAACTGCTATATTAAGATCAGACTACAGATGTATTAAGAGCAAACACTGGGAGGCCAGTTAAGAGATTTTAACTATTATTTAGGCAAGAGATAATGGTAATTTGGACCAAGGTAGTAATGGTGCAGATGGTGAGGAGTATCCACATACTGGATACACTTCAAAGGGTACAAAACTGTATGTCTTTTATATCTGAAATGGAAAAGACTACAGGAGGGGTGACTTTGGCAGGCAAAAGACTAAGAGTTCAATTTAAGATACAGTAAAACTGAGATGCCTATTAGACATGCAGGTGGAAAATTTGCATAGGAAGTAGATATATGGATCTGAGGGAGTGATGAAAGATATGGGCTGGAGATAGAAATTTGAGAGTGATCAGTATTTAAATAGTATGAAATGAAACTGAATAAGATTACAGAAGAGGTATGTGACAATAGAGAAGTGGTAAGAGGACAGAGTCTTGGGGTACTCTTTGCAGGTAAGGAAAATAAGGATGAGCCAGTAAGACCATCAGTAGAAAAGAGTAACTAGTGAAGATGGAAGAAAACCCCATGTATATCTTGAAAAGGAAGCATTTCAAAGTAGGAAGAATGGTTACCCATCAAATGGTACTGATTGACCAAGAAGAAGACAACTGAGAATGACTTGGATTTTAAAATGCAAAAGTCATTGGTGATCCTGACCAGAAGAATCATTTTTAGTGGTATAAGGTGAAAGTTAAAAAAAGACTTTGGGAAGACTTTGGATTCAAGAGAGAATGGGAGGAGAGGAATTAGAATGTGAAAATACGGATAATTATTTTGGGGATTTTTTTCTTTTTTGAGGAGGGCAAAGATAGTATAGTATCTGGAGGAAATGTGGAATCAGGAGAAAGTGTATTTCAGAATGAAAGAAATTACAGCATATTTGTATACTTAGGAGAATGAATTACTAGAGAGGGGACAGTTGTTAGAGCAGTGACCTTAAGAAGGTCAGGGGAGGGGATGGTAATATGCAAGTGGAGAGTTTAACCTTAGGAAGGGGCATGGACAATTCACTCATAGTAACAGGAGGGAAAGCAGAATATGGTGAAGGTGGGTGGGTGAGTAATGGCAATGAGAACAATTGAAACCTCTCTTCTTCTTGCTTTAATTTTTTTCTCAGCACCAGAAGAATCTGGTGAAAATGAGGATAGTGGAAGGAGGTGTTGAACATTTGAGAAGAGATAGGTCTGAAGTAGTCAATTTAGAGGTGAATAAACTAGGGGAAAGGAGTAGGATTTTAGGCAGTACCTGTAGAGAAATGTGGAGTTAAGAAAGTGCTTTTTTTTTCAAGATGGGAGAAATTACAGCATTTTATATGCTGATTGGAATGAGTTAGTAACGTGAAAAATTGATGACATGGAGAGAAACTATACATTTCGAGCTTTTCTTGAGGTTAATGGCCATGGGTATAAAATAAGTCAGTTTGCTCTCCTGTGTTTCTCTTGCCCTTGTCAAGTATTCATGTGTTTATGAAGAGAAGCTGTGGTTGGATTTAACAGAGGTTGAGGTTATTCCAGACAAACTAGGACAATAGGATAGAGGGACAAGGAAGGTGAGAATGTACTTGAGAGAATGATTGTAATGATGGACCATGGGTGTAAGGAGAGATGGGGGGACAGTGGTGGATAAAGGACAGTAAAAAGGAAGTAAAGAATGATAGAAAAATTAGAAGTTTCACTACTAAAAAAAAAATGGATAATTACCAACACAGCCCCTATGGAAACTTAACCAGCATGTCACTTTTGGATAGTTTCATTAGGAAAGTTTGTTTTCTGGATTCATCTTCACTTGGTCAAAAGGATACTTTTCGGAGATTGTGAAGTATTTCCCTATTTAAATATTTGGTTTTTATTTTTATGGAGATTAGAGAGACATCTTTGAAAGTTAAATTTTATTAACTTTAGGGAGAAGACAGTAGTGTCATTTAAGACAATACAAGCCATAAATTTTGCCAATTATTTCTCCTATGGAAGTTCTTTTCTTTCCATCCTGATTTAGTGTTCAGTCCAGGATCATTTATTACAATTAAGTTTCTTATCTCTTTGTTCTTCTTTAATCTGTGATAGCATCTCTGACATTCTTTGTGTTTGTTGATACTGAATTTTGAAGAGTACATTCCAATCGTTTTGTTGATATTTCTTTGTTATTAGATGCAGGTTGTTTGGGGGGCAGGAATACTGTGTAAGTGATGTTGTGTCCTCAGTGCATCATCCTGGAGGTACATGATGTCACTTTGTCCCATTATTAGTGAGGGAAACTTAATCACTTATTTGTGGTTGTGTCCTTTGGATTTCTGCACTGCAAAGTTATTGTCTTTCCCCTTTGTATTTAATAAGGAACCTAAGGAGACTACATAAATATCCTCTTTCTCTTAGAACTTTCCAGGAATTTTAGTATCCATTGATTTTTGCTTTAATCAGTTATTAAATAATGGCTACAAAATAGTGATTAGCTGTTAATTCTCTTACATTTATTAGTTGGCATTCTACTTAAAAATCGGCTTTCCCTTTCTCCTCACTTATTTATTTGTCAGGCAAACTCATTTTTATTGTATGTGTGAGAGTCTGTGTAGCCTATAAACATGACTTATTTGTGGTATATAAACTATATATATATGATTTATATATACTGTAGTTGATATTCATGCTCAGATTGTTCTAGATTTGGTCCATGGGAGCCTCTTCAAACTGGCTCCCGTGACCTTTTGATATATCCCCATCTTTTTATTTTTTAAGAATCTTTTTTTACTTTCTAGCATGACCAGATATTCTAGGCTTATCTTGTAATTTCCCTGCCCCTTTCCTGGAAGCAGTCATTTCTTGTCACACTGATGCCTTTTAATGGGAATTGGTAATTAGAAACCAAGGTCTTGGCACTAATTATGCTTATTGCTACTGGGGTGTGTATTTGCAGGTCTTTTCCGCATTTAGAGTTTGGGGGGGGAAACAATTTCAATGTGAAATTGCCATATGTACGTTCTCTTCATAAATTTTAATCATGTAATCGTTTCTTTTTCAGTTTGACACCACCAGGTTCTACTTTCCTTTTCCTATTACATACTGCATCACCCTTTTCCACAGTGAAAAAACTTTGTTCCCAAGAACTTCAATATTTCTCATTTGCTTCATTTTATAATACATATAAAATGCATTAGAACTTCTGTACCTACCATTACAAAAATCCTATTAGAGTACAAGATACCTTTGCAATTCTTTTTTTTTTTTTTTATGCTGAGGGTATATAGACAAAGTACTGTGTTTAAAAGTTTCAGAGTGATATTAACCATTTAAAATATAATTTGATTTATTGCTTCCATTTGTATTCAGTATTAGCATTTCTTTTCCTCCATGCTTATTGACATAATTATTTTTTACATACATAAAACATTTAACATAGTTCCAAAGGCAAGGCTATCCAAAAGCATATTCAGATTTGTCGCTCTATCCCCTGTTTCATTCACTCCTTTCAATAACCATTTTCATTTCATTTAGTTTCTGGTTTATTCTTCGTGTGCCTGCGTATGTGTGTGTTTAAAGAGTTAAATTATTTTGACATGAATTTTTATGAAATATTAGTGTAGGTTTTTATGAAACACATGAGAGTGTTACTGGTTACCCTAACAATACTAATACCTATTATTGAAGAATCTAGGAAAAGAAATATCACAATTTTGAATAAGTTTTGTTGAACTGCAGAAATTAATGTCATTAACTCATAAAAGCTCAGAAATTTATTTCTTGATAACATATAACCTGAAGAAAGCCTTTGGTTCTTATCTCTGCATTTTGACTTGGTACCATCTATGTTAGAAAATATTTCTAGAACTATTCTAGAGAGTTAATAAAATGTTGATAACACATCTACATTTATATCCACTAGCTGTCTCAGTATCACAGCAAATTATTTTATGTGACGAACAGAATGCTACTATAGGAACATCATAAAGGATTTTAGGAAAAGTATGTCAAGGAAAAAAAAGAAAACAAAACAAAGGGGGGTCAGAGGCAACAATATGTAAGAAAAAACATAGAAAATTTATCTCGCCAGAAACAGCACCTCTTCTCAGTCTCAGACAAGTACTGCCTCCAGAAAAGCCAATTCAAGCGTTGGGAAGTGGCAGGATCGATATGGGAGGGCCGAATCACCTGATCTAAGGTAAGGCTATTTTTAAACATTGGATACTCCCTGATGTTTAGATCATCAGTGTTGTTTTGTTCTATTAGTAAGATAATAAATTTTTATTAGACTGCCATATTTTTACCCCCTAAATTTTGATTTTTTCAGTATAGTATTTGTGGTTTAAGTTACTTTATAAATCAGGCCTTATCACCTCGTGTCATGCCTCTCATCTCTCTAGCATTTTATAATATAAATTGCATGGAACCATGCTAATGGGTGCTCAGCAAATTTTTCTTTCCCCCTTGCTGCAGGTTTAATTCTTCTTTCCCATATTGCACCCTATTTAAAAATCTATGGATGCTTTTCAGTATTCGTTGAAGAAAATTTAGCTTCTTAGTATTTAGGACCAATAAAATTGTACTCCACTACTGTTTTCCAGTCTTTATATCCCAACTGCAGTGCATGAACCTACCATTTTAGTAAGTGGGTCTACAATGTACAAGAAAAAACATTGAAAATTTATCCTAGGAAGTACTATTTTCCTTATTGTTGCTGTGGGGTGTTTTTTTTTCCCCACTCATGCTCTACCATAGAACTTTGGTTTGTGTTCTAAATCTTACATTTGCAAAGTATACAACCTTGGGTGGGTGTTACAAACTCTCTGAATCTATAAAATGGGAAGAATAATTTTTACCCTAAGGGATGTAGTGAGAAGCCAATATTTGGGTACGAAAGTGCAATTCCAGTAGTAATCGGTCTGAGCAATCATACTTTGCTTGACTTAGAAGTAGAGACTTAAGATACCTTCCTAATTTACCATTTGAAGTTTTTAAACAGTGACAACATACTAGAGGACAGAAGAAGTTTGTTACAGAATTGTAAGCTTCCTGGGCAGCTTGATGTTATATGCTTTTAATTATTTTCATTTATAGACTTCAATTATGTAAATTATGATTAGATATCTTTGACCATAAAATCTAAAAGAAAAGCAGAGGGAGGAAACATCAAAATTTTATTTTCTTGGATTTAGTTTTCTTTGGAGTCTTTACTTTCGATTTCTCAAGAGTAGTAGGAATTTCTAGTCAACTTGCTTTGTTAAGATTTCTTTTTTGAAAAGAATAAGCTTAGTTATTCTCAAAAGTGGGTATTTGTCTCAAAGTCAAAAATATTTTCACTTCTGAAAGGCTATCCAAACTGTAAGTATAGTAATTCATGTAGAAAGAAATACACAGAGGGGGGCAAAAGTAGGTTTACAGTTTTGAGTATGCAAAACAGTTTATTCTTGTATTGTTATTTATTTATTATATTATGTTCCATACAAACAACTGTAAACCTACTTTTGCCCCACCCTGTACTATTTATATTCTAAGAAATGTGTCAATTGCATATGTAGCTTTAACAAGTTATAGAATAAACATTTGCATATATTACTATTATTTTAAAAGTACCGCTTGAATTTTTCATATATTATATAATATTGATTGATCCTGGTTTTTAAAACTAAAATTCTTGAAGAACCAATAGTAATTTCAAGGGTTATTCTAAATAAAGAAAAGTCAGATCTGACAAGTGTGGAGTCTATGAATCTTTTGACCTTTAATATTCCTGTGGAACCTGAAAGTTTAATACCTGTGCTAATAGTATAATTTCTATACAATACTAACTTCATTGTTATAACACATAGTGCATAAAGAAACACTGGAGAGAGATCTATCTATCTATCTATCTATCTATCTATCTATCTATCTTACCTGTCCAACTATGTGGACAGCCTATTTACTGATCCCAAAAGGGCCACACAATAAGAGCTTTCATTTTCATCATGCTGTTGGTAATGAAACAGTAGCTAAGGTCTTTGCATATAAAGAATGACTAAACTTAGACAGCTGTTTCATGGCATAAGTACTAGATTTGGATATTAGGTATGGTTTTGCACATGTGTGAATTTAGAACAGTTTCCTAAAATCTTTAGGCCTCTCTCTCCACATTTGTAAAATAGGGCTAGGCTGTGTTATCTGGAAGCCCTGTTAATCCTGAAATTATTTTATGGCTAGTACCTGGTTTACATGGAAAATGAAATCTGAGAAATTAAGGAACTTGACCAAGTTCATGCCTAATTAAGAGGCAAAGCCAGGGCTGCTTTCCTCTGTTTTCTGCCTTTAATACCTATAGTTCAGACTAGTTGACTTTCATAAACAAAGACATAGAAATACTTTAAAAATCCATTGTTTCCAATGTAATTTTAAACTATATTTGTTTCTTTTGCTAATATTTTAACATCTGGAATTCCTTTCATATCAATCATGTAATGTGGAATATTTTACTTAAAATAGTTGTCTTTCGGTACAGTAGTTTATTTCTTGAAATAAGATGGCTAGTTTACAGGGAAAAGAGTCTCATACCTGAAAGTGATATATTTCAGTGCTTACAATATATAACTCCCTCTCCCCCGCAAAAAAGATGCTTTGGAAAGACAACTCCTCATTCTGATTCTGTGATTAGTCTCACAGAATGTAGGTAGTAGGAAATTTGACACTATACTTTCCACATGTGTTTTATCTTTTTGAAAATTAAAAACAAAAAACCTCTAGATAAAAGCTACTTTTCTCTTTAAAAATGGTACACGCGCACACACACTTTCTTATATATAGTGTAAGATAGAAAAGGAAATTCCAGCTCTTAAGTATTGCTTAAGTCTCTTTGTAATGAGCAATTAAACAATGATTGAGAGCCTTTTCATAAGTTACTATATTTGGGAACCCAGACTTCTTATCTCATGCTTGTTCCTCTTAATTTATATAAAACTGTTTTTCAAACCTCATTTAATAGTGCTCTTCAAGCCAACTGTGTGTGTAACAATGGTATTTTATTAGTGCAAGTTTGTGTTACAAATTCAGATTTATAACTCTTATAAAGCCAATTAGTAGAAGAATAAAGCAGTTTAACACAGAAAATTGAGATTGGTAATATGGATGATTGCTCTACTTACCCTAATGTTCAGTTTATTTCTGCGTTTTTTTCCCCCTCACTTTATAATATCAAATTCTGCTCCTCTTGGGTAATTGGTTGCAGATCCCAGGTTGTTTTGTTAATCTTGTTTATCAGTGTCAGTACTTTTTAACTGATTCAGACTCTTGAAGGAAGAATAGTTAAATTGTTTTCATTGTAGAACCACTGAAGTATTTAAATCTGCTTGCATTCTTATAGACAAGCATAAAACTTATAGTAATAAAAATGGATATTAAATGAACATTAAATCTCAGAGAGACCTTTTCATTTGTTCTTGCACTACATACTATTATGTTTTTATCAAATAATTTACTGGAAAGATGTGCCTATACCTTCATAGCATTTGATTGAGCACTCTGCATGTTTCTCTGTTATGTAGCTTGTAAGACTTTGTGTAACTAGATATATGGAGGCCTTTATTTTATTTTTTAAAAATTCACTGTACAGTATCTTTTTCTATCAATGATGCATTTAAAAATAAAAGTAAACATAAATATGGCAGGCAAAGCTTTATTCCAAACTCTGTATAAAAGTGAGTATACTTGACTGCCCAGTGAACACATTCATGTCTCCCAGTGAGTCAGATTTTAGCATCTTTCCCTTTTAGGCATTAAGGATTTTTGTTTTTTTAAAGTATAGCTTAAAAAGCAAACATTAAATTCAGGCCCCAGAAAATTAGCATAGAAAATACTTCTTGTTGAAGAAGGGAAAGGTTTTGGAGTTGGTCTTAACCTGAGCCTGTATCCTGGTGCTGGCACTTCACTGTACAAAAGAGCCTCTTTTCACATCTGTGAAAGAGAAACTAATTGGTCATAAACTTAACTTGCAGCCTACTTGTGAATTAAATAATTTCTAAGCTTGTGAAAGCACTTACTGGAGGGCATCCAGTAAGTTTTAGCTCCTTTTGAATCTCTGCTCCTATCATAGGCGTTATCAGTCTTTTTAGGTGTAGTACTGAAGAAAATAAATTACATGTCCTGAAGATAGTTATAAATACTGTCATTTTAATTTTGAGCATATATTGCTTTTCTAGACAGATTTTTGGTTGATAAATCTTCGTAAAAAATATACTAAATTTTCTTATAAACTGTGTATACACTATAGAGAAAATTGTTCTTGTGCTTTTGAAAGTAAAAAAATGTATAGAAGCAGTACTGTCCACGCAAAACGAGATCAATATAAAAATATTTCTGTAGTGAATGACATACTTACCTTAATTGTCAGACCTTTATAGGTATGACTATATTAACATGTATTTAATAATAAGGAGTTAAATACTGTTTTTTATCAACCACTTTCATATTTTCTTTCTCTTTTTTCACTCACCCAAGGACATGCTTATTGATCATAGAGAGAGGGGAAAGGATTAGGCAGAGAGAAACTTTGATGTGAGAGTGAAACATTGATTGGTTGCCTCTCACATGCCCCCAAACCCACAATCTGGTTTATGTGCCCTGACTGGGAATCAATCCCGTGACCTTACGGATTATGGGACGATGCTCCAACCAGCTGTGGCACACTGGCCAGGGCTTAAATCTTTTATAGGAAAGAACAAATATAAGTTATTTTCTTGGGTATGTAGTCTTCAACTTTGGCTATATTGGAATTATCTGGGGAGCTTCAAAAATGATTGCTGCTTATGTGAGGAGAGACTCCAATTTAAATAGTCTGGTGTGTACTCAAAGGCGTTAGTATTCTTAAAAGCTCCCCAGTGATTTCGATGTGCAGGCAAAGTTGGGAACCACTGATTTAGAGACTGGATTCTGGATTGACATAAAGATGAAAATCAAATGTTAATTGAACATCTTAGATTTCAAAATAAAATGATAGATTTATCATAGCTATAAGGAGAACTGACATTTCATAACATTTTACAGCCTCACAGAGCCCTTTCTTATATGTAATTCTTAATTGATTAATTTGTAATTGAACATATTGCAATTATATTGGTCTGCAAAACTGTACAGGTTTGAAGTATAGAACTCAACAAAACATCTACACACTGCATTGTGTGTCTGTAGTCACAA